CATGGCCGTGGCTCACGGGGACACCGCTCGGCCAGGATGTGGGGCCGCCGCAGGGTCCTGTGGTCCCCTGGAGATGCTCGAACCCCTGCAGTCCCACACTCCTGGGCCCGCTAACTGTTCTACGTAGAGCAGCCTTGCAGTCCCTGAGCCCCGGGCACAAGGACCAACAAGGGGCCAGCTTCCCTGCCGTCTTCACCCTAAGGAAGCCTGCCCTCGGGCCCAGGGCTGCGTGGGCACTGTCCTCCCTCTCCTGTCGCCCGGGCACTGTGGCTGGTGGAGCTCCTGCAGGTGCCTGCCTGGCGGATGGGCACAGTCTGGGCAGCAGCCTGGCCCCAGCCCCACCCTGCTGTCCACTTGCCTCGGGCCTCACCCTCAGTCCTCATCCTCCGCCCGCTGGGCATGATGGTGCCTGCCCTCCAGAGCTCAGGCCTCTGGAGCGGCCCATCCTCCACCGGTGCTGGGTCCCAGAGCCATCCCCCAGTCCCAGCCCTCATTCAGCCCCACTCCCCAGGCTGTGGCCTCCCTGGGCTCACGGGGACCTTGCCAACATCCATGGCAAGCATTGGAGCTGGCTGAGGCCAGCCTGACTTCTGAGCAGCACAGCATGCCCCTGCTGGATGCATAAGTCCTGCTGGGGGTGGCCGTGGCCTGTGGAAGAGGCTGCTGTAGGTGGCGGGCCTTGTCCTCTGGGGACCTGTCCACAGCTGGGACGTGGAGCTGGATGAGACACACAGACACACACACACACACACACACACACACACACACACACTCGAGTTCCTGGCTACCAGCATCCATCACTCCTCATGTTCGCTGACCCTGACTTAGCAGCTGCTCCCCCCTTGGCCCACTGTCTCTGTCAGGGTTCCAGCGGGGTCCCCGTCAGTGCCCTGGCGCTGTGCCCTGGAGTGGGGTGTGGCCACCCAGACCAGGGCAGTGCGGGTCCTTCAAGGGTCTCTAGACCGTCACCATCATTGAAACGCTGAGGCTCCCTCTCTGTGGGTGGTTCGCCGTCCAGTCCTGGGGGCGCTGAGCACCTCGCTTCACCTAGGTCTGGCCCACCCTCCTGGGGGAGCAGGCACCAGGGAGGGTGCGGTGCAGGGGTGCCCTGGGGCGGGGCGGGGGCTGGTCATGGTGTGGGAGTGGTCAGCTCCCCCATCCCCCCGGCTCAGAGCAGACAGGACCTGCAGGATGTGGGGGCCGCTCCCCACAGGGTGACCAGACACCCCCTCCCAGGATTAGTAGGGAAGGAGGGCCCTGGCGGGCGTCTGTGGCTGGACCCCTCCCCTGCTCCGGGCACCTGGTGGCGGGCAGGGCTCGGCCGTGGGGCCTGTCAGGGCTGGGTCCCCTCCCCTGCTGGCTCCGGGAGGGTGGCCCAGGCTGGATCCCCTGTGCAGAGCCCAGGGGAGGCCCAGCTTGCCCCTGACTGTGTCCTGGCAGCTGGGGTGTGCTCTGGGGGGTCTGCTCCTTGGGGCCAGGTCTCAGGTCTTTGCCCCCAGCAGATGGGCTCCTGGTGCCATCTGCATGTCCCCCTTTCCAGAAGCCCTCCAGAGGTGGCGCCCTTTCTTGCTCCCTCCTGCCCCTGCCTGGCCGAGGCTCTGGCCTGCCCTGGCCCGTGGCCTCCGTCCTCAGTGCTGTCCTCAGGGTCGTTCCCTCTGCAGTTTCCAGCTTCTCCCCTTGCCACCCCACGGGCCTCATGACCGCCCAGGTGTGATGTGGCATCCAGGGAGGGGTCAGGACTCCTGGTTATGTTAAGCATTCCTCTGTGGCCATTCTCCCTCTGGGGGCCCCCACCAGGCAGGCTTTGGAACGGGATGGCAGGGAGGACTGATAGCAGTGAGGACTGTCTCCTCTTGGCAGACTGGTCAGGCAGCAGGCAGGAGAATCTGGGTGAGTTCAGGTAGGGGACTGGTGCCTGGTGGGCTGGCAGAGGTGAGAAGGGGCTTTCTGGGAGGACCTCGCTACCTGGCTCTCCCCAGTGGTAGGGGACTTCTCTGGGTGGGACTCGATTTTTTTCACTGAGTTCCTGCCTGCCCTGGGGAGGAGCTGGAGCTAGTCTCCAGGGCATGGTTATGCTGAGCCTAAGGCCAAAGGCCAGCCCCATGGGCAGTAACAGTGACACCCTCCTTTCCTTTAGTCCCTTGGGGGGGTTCATCCTCATGGGCTTGTTACCCACAGGCTTGTACCCACTCTTGAATAGCTGCTTCTTCAGTGCTGGGACTAGCCCAGTAGAGTGGTCAAGGTGGGGGTGGTCCAAGATTGCAGAACGCTGTCTGCTGCATCCCCTAGACCTGGGGGCGGGGGGAGGGCATGGCTGACGTCAAGGGTAGCATCAGGAGCTCCCCCCGCTTGCCATACCTCCCGGGCACTTCTCTCTGTGCTCCACCAGGGATGCTGCTCAGGCTGTCTGGCAGGGTCCCAAACTACTAGCTCAGTTGCTTCATCCAGGGTTTTCCAGCTCCTCCATGTCTGCCAACCACCACCACCATCCCCCGACTTTGCTCTGGTGGTACCTGAGATGGCAGGAGATGCCCTGCATGCTGGGAAGCTGATGCCCCCTGCTGTGCTCCCAGTACCACTGCAGCCAATGGTCCAGGCAGGAGCCTGGGGGTTGGTCTCAGAGCCCTGGAAAGCCCTAGGTAGGGACTTGGAAGCCTGAGGTCTCTTGGGGGCTCAGGGAGCCCTCAAAAGCTTTGCCTGGGGGTGCCCAGAGTATTCGGAGGCATTCAGGCGCCCTTATGGGGCTCCAGGGCCTTGGAAGCAAGGCTAAGCTTGGTGGGAGTCTGGAGGGGGGTCCAGAATCCTCAAGAGAGCTCTCTGGGAGGTGGGTATCTCGGAGCCCTGGGGCAGCGCTTTTGAAGCAAGGCCCTCAGAAACCCTCCGTCTGGTGCATGGTGATCAATGGATATGGTCACCTATGGGAAATAAAAGGGGGAGACTATGTCACCTGGGAGGCGACTCCGTCTTCCTTCAGACACAACAGTGGTTGCCAAGCACATCTAGCCTCCCCCTCGGTCCTGCAGATGGAGGATCTGAAGCCCGGAGGGGACCATTCCGTCCAGAGGCCATGCCATCTCTCTCCCCTTCCTCCCTGCAATCCCTCCTCTCCACCAGGACCCCGTGGGGCTCTCGCTGCACAGCCACCCCCAGGAGGAGCCCTTGAGATCACGTGCCGAAATGAGATGTTGCGCCATGCCTCTGCAGAGTTCTGATGCCCTGATGATGGGACTCCTTGTTCTCCCCCATCCAGTTCACCGATTTGACCACCTGCCCCTATGGTCACAGATGAGCAGGCCACACCTCCTGCCCATGCCCACCGCCGACCATGGAGCATCCGTGTCTCAGCTCTTGGTCTAAGATGGCACAGGACAGATGTCGGGGGCCCAGGGGTGTCCCGGCCACAGCGGACTGGGTGCCATGGGAATCGGGGGAGTGCCTAGCAGCAAACGAAGGAGGCTGGGGCTCTGGGAAGGGTGAGAATATGAGAAGCCACTTCTTTCTGGTGTATTTGAAATGCACAAAAAAAGCCTGTTGGTTTTAAGAAAACACCCACCCCAGCCCACCTCACCCCACCCAAGTGCAGAGACTAGGATGCAGCAAGAAGAAGTGTCCGGGAGCTTTGGTAAAAAGGTTCCAGTCCTGGCCCTGAGCAGAGCTTACCCAGCAGCCATAGGCAGCGGAGAGCCCCAAAGGCTCAGGAGACCACGGTGCAGGTGCAGGTGAGAGGGCAGGCCCTGCCAAGTCCTGCCACCTGTAGGAAGGAGCCCGTCAGAGCTGAGGTGCCAGGGTCCCGCCCAATGGTGGCCCAGGGGGTGCCTCTGCTTCCCTTTTGGGTGCCTGCCTCTCCGGGCTTTACTGCCCTCTACAGGCAGTGCGGAGCCCAGACGCACAGTGTGGCATTTTACCCCAGGTTTCCTTAGCACTTAATGTGAAGTGATAGTCGCTCAGTCGTGTCTGACTCTTAGCGACCCCTTGGACTGTAGCCCGCCAGGCGCCTCTGTCCATGGGATTCTCCAGGCAAGAATACTGGAGTGGGTTGCCATCTCTTTCTCCAACTCGATGTTAAAATCACATGTAAACTGTGAAAACTGTGAAGTGCCCAGAGCAGAAAACCTTGTGGTAATACCCAGGTGAGGAGCTGATTTACTGAAAGGGGATGAAACATTCCAGAGGGCTGAGAGCCTTTCCCTGTCATTAGACAACCAGCTTTCCAGCAGAAACAGCCCATCAAGCAAATGCCTCATTTCCTTCCCATCACTCTGCTCTTGGACACCACGGTTAGTGTCTGCTGGTCCCAGTTGAAACACCCAGAACTGACACGGTGCAAGCAGCCTCACCTGCGTTTCCCAGTGGGCTCTCTGTGTGACATTATTTTTTATAAGTACTTACAAGAGCTTCTGGTAACATGTCAGGGAGCGGGCACCAAAAGCAGAACACAAATGAGTCTATGGGTAGCCTAGGATCCCTATCTCAGGCTCAAAGGACGCAAGGATGAACTGACAAAGTCGGATGGCAATTCTGGAGACCCAAGGCCTGGAAACCTTTAGTAGGGGGGGCAGCCCAACCACTCCCCACGTTAAAGAGAAGAACCCACATGTTAAAAATAAATGGTCTTTTATTGTATCCACGAAAACAAACTCAGGGTGGCCTTTGGTTAATCCCCCCGTGAGGTGACGACAAATAGGAGGCATGCGATGACCAAAACCGTGTTCTCCTCTCCAGGAGAAGGGTCTTGCCTTCCTAGGCCCAAAGGGTGACAGGAAAGCAGGGCCAGGAGGATCCAGAGGCAAGCCCACCCAGGCCCACCATGCTGCAGAGGGCCCAGGCCTGCTGCCTCCCTGGCAGGACAGGGAAGGGGTCAGCAAACATTGCCCCTGTCCTGGTAACCCCAAGCTAGAACACACAGAAAAGCCCCAACCCCCCTCCCGCATCAAACACTGATAAGGCAGTCAGCCAGGGCTTCCCAGAGGAGCTGGCCTCCAAGGTAAGAGGCCAGACCCTTAGGGCTCTGCCCAGAAGGGGTTGCCATCCTCGGCCTGCATGGAGTAGTAAACAAAGAGCAGGAAGGCAGCAAAGACCAGGAACAGCAGCACCTGGCCCCAGAGCGGGACCTGGCGATCCTGGCCCAGGCCGGCAGCCCCAGGGGCCTGCTTTTCAGGCCGGATGGCTCGGCGGGTGAGCCATGAAGGGGCCGAAGATGAAGATGAGGACACACTCGAGGTGGAGGAGGATGTGAGATAATAGGACAGGCCCAGGGAGCTTCTGGAGATGTTGGAAATAGGGCGGTAGTGTGCGATGTTCTGGTGGGCACTGTTCTGGCCATACAGGAGGTGTTCCCTGAGGCAAAGAGGGCAGCAGGTAGACCAGGAGGGCCTGAGCCCTGAATCAGCCCCAGCTCCTGGCTTGCCTTAATACTCACCGATCCTTGCCTTCCTCTTCCAAAGAGAAAAGATTGTCATCACGGACCTACAGAAGTGAATCAGAGTGAGGATACCTATTGGCGGGGTCGATGTAGGTATGACAGGTCATACCCTCAGTCCACACTACCCTTCCCAGCCTGTTCTGAACACTGCTTAAAGGCCTGGGCCCTGCCACCCTCCAGACCCCCTTCTTGGTCCCCAGCCTTATGTCTGCAGGGCCGTGCCACTTGTCCCGGCTGCCTGCATCCTACTTTGTGCCCCAGGATTCTCAAAAAGAGCTCAAACCTAGATCCCAGACCAGAGCCAGGGCACGTCCTGGGCACACTAGTCAAAACAGTTCTGACAGCCCCTTCCCCTCCCCAAAGAAAGGCCCTCACCAGGCAGGTGTCTGCAGGCCCCGCCTCTCCCTGGAGGTTTCTGAGGCACCATTTGCGCCCAGTGGTCCCCTTGACTCATCCAAACCCCATGAGGACCCCCTCAGGTTGTACCCAAGTACAGGGTGCCCGACAAGTCAGCTCACCTGGCGGTGAAAAGGGTCAGCATCTGAGAGTGAAGCTGAGGGCTGGCGGAAGCCCTTGGATGTGCCCATAGACTCAGGTTCCCCATAAGTCCCGGTGGTCAAGTAACTCTCCTCATAGTAGTCATCATTATAGCCTTGGGAAGGGGGAGCAGCGGTAGCAGAAGAGGCAACGGTGTCCCTACCTGGCCCGATGGCCCTAATCTGAATCCCACTGGGGGGGCCTGTGACACGGTTTCTCCCCTCCAGGGCTACTGCAGGACGCTTGGGGTTGAGGTCTCAGGTTCTGGCTGACAATGGAAGGAAGGTGTCAGGGTGCCCATCCCACCCCTGCCTTACCCTTGCTCTGGTAAAGTAAGGCGTCCTCTTTCTTGGGCAGATCATACATATCCGAGTCCATGGACGCTGAATCTACGTCTGAATGGGGGAGGGGCTAGGACCATGGCCCACAGGGGTCCCCTCCCGTTTCCCCCGCGCCCCTTCCGGCCAGTGCCCCGGCCACACCCCCGCGACCCCTTTCTCAGAGTCACCCAAACCGTGTCCCCAAGGGCGGCCAGGCAGGGCCCTGGGACGGAAGCCTCACCCGAGAACCGATAGGAGAAAGAGGATGCAGACGAGCTCGGGGGCGAGAGCCTCCGCCTCTGGGTCTCATACTCGAAGATTTTCTTTTCGTAGAGCTTGCGAGTGGAACCTGATCAGACGCGGGGCACAGGGCGGTCAGGGAGCGGGCCGCGGGGCTAAGCGCGGGGAGGGGGCCCGCCCTCCGTCCACCGCGTACCAACGACGGGCCCGTGTGGGATGTTGTACTGCGCAGCATGGCGGCCAGCTCCGAGTCCGACAGGACTGCGTGGTCGTCCATGGCGGGAAGCGGACGGCGGAGGCCTGGGCCTAGCGACACCGGCCGAGAGACGATGTCCTGGGAGCGCGGCGGGGGCAACAGGAGCGCCTCGGGAGCGGCTACGCGCGCGTCACGCCCGTGTCACAGCCGCGGTCTTGGCAGGCAGTGCGCGCTGCGCGGAGAGGGGCCGGGCCTCGCGAAGAGGCGCCAGCACAGATTGGTGGGGCCTTGGGAACGGGCGGGGCGGGGCGGGGCTCGCGAGCCTAGACGTCACCCCTCCCGGGTGGGAGGGGCCGCAGCTCAAACGGCGCAGATGGGCCGGGCCGTGGGGGTGGGCGGAGCTGGCGAGCCCAGAGACGTCACACGCTGGCGCATTTAGGCCGGGACGCCAGCGAGGGGCGGGGCCTGGGTGCAACGGGAACTAGCTTAGACCCGCCCCGACTTGGGAGCGGGGCGGGGCCCGCGAGCCGCGACGTCACCCGCTCGGCTATTCGGGTCAGAAGGGTGGAGGGGCGTGGCCTGTGGCCGTGCAACCAGCAGAAACTGGCCAGGATGTGGGAGCTGGGCGGGGCTAGCCCTCCGTGAGTCACGTGGACTCCACTAGGTCCCAACTGACCCCTCTGCACCGAGCTCCGGCGCTCGGGGGTTCCTGGCCTCGCCCCGGCCGGCCGGCTCGCTGGCAGCCGAGAGAAAGGGTCCGATCTGAAGGGGCGAGCCCTTGGAGAGCGTGGGTCTGGACTAGGCGCCGCTGCCCGCGCTGGGCGCGCGCGTGCCACGCCATTGAAGCCCGTAGCCACCCGACCGTAAGCCACCCCCCAGACCCCCAGACCCCCTGCCCCAGCACGCCTTCCCGCTCTGTGGGACCCTGGCCTGAGCCCGCAGGTCCCCACCGCCTCCTTCCCTCCCTGCTGCACCCCGGAGGAAATGGGGCACTGGGCCAGGAGGCCACCGGTGCTCCAGAAGCCAGCAGCCTTGGAAGGGGCCCGGGCATGCCAATGGGCACTGGCACGGGGCGCCCAGTGATGCGATGCATGCAGAGATGGCGGGTGCCTGCCTCACCCACCGGCAGCCCACTCGAGGCGCGAGGGGCTTCCCCTCCGTGACTGGGCTGGCCCCTGAGCCCAGCGTGACCCAGGAGACTGCCAGAGGGACCTGCCCGAGGCTTCCAATAATGTGCTCTGAGCACCTGGGTCTCAGTGGGCTTCAGGGTCATGGGAGTGCAGAGGGGGCCTCCCGGACAAGGGGCCAGGGGACTGAAGCAGGCAAACCATGGAAGGCAGCCGGGACCTGTCACAGGGAGTTGGTGAGAGCCTTGGTCAGGAAAGAGCTCTCCCACGAAAATTAGGAAGGAGATGACAGTCACGTTCTAACAAAGCCAGCCAATAGAATGAGGGGAAACTGAAGCGCCCCTCCCAGAACTGGGATGAAGGCTGGCAGACTGGCCCAGCTGGTGAGGGTCACAGCCTTGGTCTCAGCGAAGGTTCGTTCATGTGGTGGAGAGAAGATAGGGCCCTGGTTTAACCATGTATGAAGCCCCTCTGCTAGGTTGCTGTTGGCCAGGTTTTAGAGATGAGGATTTCTCCACCTCCCAAAATATGAGGGCCCCACGTATGCATGGTCGGATGAGGGGCAGCGCCCTGGGCAGGGCAAGGGTCTTGCTGCTTATCTCCAAGCAGGGAGGGAGATGACATTTGGGATTGGGCTCCTCAGAGCCGATCCCGCGGAATTTGGAGTTTGGGCCAGATCAGATTCCCCAGCACCTCTCTAAGCCTTCTTTTGCAGTGCTGGCCCCTGTCCCGGAGGCCGGCCTCCCCTTGCCAACCGCCCTCCCCCCCGATACAGAACCCAAGCCGTTTCTTTATGAGGTCAAGGAATTCTAAGTTTGCCTTCTCCTCTGGGAGCAACCCCTCCCCAGCACCTGCCTTGGCCCTCTGCCTTGTATTTCCCTCTCCCCCAGTTGCCCCACTATGAGGTCCCACCACAGATGGCATCACACAGCTGACCTGTGATGATCTCCTGCACACGAGACCACCTGGAGCCCCAAGCCAGTCCCACTGCAGGCAGACCTGTCTCAAACCACCAGAAACCAGGCAAGCCCTTGACCATCAGAGCTGAGAGGCCCTTGGCACCGATGCCATCACATTGAGGAGGAATTAGGGGCCCAGAGAAGGAAGAGACTTGTGCAGGGGCACCCAGTGTAGCAATTCATTCATGGATGTTCCCCTAGCCAGTACCTAGCCCTCGGGGTCATAACTTGGACAGTGTGGCCCATTGAGGGTTCAGAGTCAGCAGAGGAGCTGTTAGTGGAAATCTGGGGCCTTGAGGGAAGTCTTCCTGGGAAGAGTGGGCAGAGTTAAAAGGAGGCATTTCTCTGGAACTGTAGCTGGGGCAAAAAGGCTTGGAAGCCACTGATTCCAAGTCAGTAACAAGAAGACAGTTTCTCCTTTAAGGACTGGGATTCTAAGCAATAGACTATGTAACTTGTGATCCTAGCAACATCAAAAATTGTAAGGAAAAGTAATATCAACATGAATACATTTCTGAACAGGTCCAAGGAGACGATTATTCACTGAGCGATTAATATTTTAAGATCAGAACCTGAATCCTTTGGTACAATACAAAGCTTACCTTTTATCTTCAAGGATGTTAAAGATCCTCTGAGTTTGGCCTGGCAGTCGAATGCTTTAAAACATGGCTCAGATGGTAACAAAGGTTGTAAGATGGTGACTAGCGTGAAAATGACCATGTGGAAGGTTGTCACAATCAATATATAGCAGGGAATGGTTAGCCGACCAAAGCCTCTCAGATGACACCTTGTGTTCCGGTCCTAGGACACATCAGTCTGCCTTGGGACAGTCAGCATGGCAGCAGGAATGGAGCCACTTCTAGTGCTTTTGTGGAACCTTCAACACAAAGTGGTGGTTTAGTCGCTAAGTCATGTCCTACTCTTGCGACCTCATGGACTGCAGCACGCCAGGCTTCCCTGTCCATCACCAGCTCCTAGAGCTGGCTCAAACTCATGTCCATTCAGTTGGTGATGCTATCCAATGCCCAATATGCTACTGGAGATCAGTGGAGAAATAACTCCAGAAAGAATGAAGGGATGAAGCCAAAGCAAAAACAATACCCAGTTGTGGATGGGACTAGTGATAGAAGCAAGGTCCGATGCTGAAAAGAGCAATATTGCATAGGAACCTGGAATGTTAGGTCCATGAGTCAAGGCAAATTGGAAGTGGTCAAACAGGAGATGGCAAGAGTGAATGTTGACATTCTAGGAATCAGCGAACTAAAATGGAGTGGAATGGGTGAATTTAATTCAGATGACCATTATATCTACTACTGTGAGCAGGAATCCCTTAGAAGAAATAGAGTAGCCATCATGGTCAACAAAAGAGTCCGAAATGCAGTAATTGGATGCAATCTCAAAAATGACAGAATAATCTCTGTTCATTTCCAAGGCAAACCATTCAATATCACGGTAATCCAAGCCTATGCCCCAACCAGTAACACTGAAGAAGCTGAAGTTGAACGGTTCTATGAAGACCTACAAGACCTTTTAGAACTAACACCCAAAAAAGATGTCCTTTCATTATAGGGGACTGGAATGCAAAACTAGGAAGTCAAGAAACACCTGGAATAACAGGCAAATTTGGCCTTGGAGTATGGAATGAAGCAGGGCAAAGGCTAATAGAGTTTTGCCAAGAGAACACACTGGTCATAGAAAACACCCTCTTCCAACAACACAAGAGAAGACTCTACACATGGACATCAGAAGATGGTCAACACTGAAATCAGACTGATTATATTCTTTGCAGCCAAAGATGGAGAAGCTCTATACAGTCAGCAAAAACAAGACCGGGAGCTGACTGTGGCTCAGATCATGAACTCCTTAATGCCAAATTCAGACGTAACCTGAAGAAAGTAGGGATAACCACTAGACTATTCAGGTATGACCTAAATCAAATCCCTTATGACTATACAGAGGAAGTGAGAAATAGATTTAAGGGATTAGATCTGATAGACAGAGAGCCTGATGAACTATGGACGAGGTTTGGTGACATTGTACAGGAGACAGGAATCAAGACCATCCCCATGGAAAAGAAATGCAAAGAGGCAAAATGGTTGTCTGAGGAGACCTTACAAATAGCTGTGAAACGAAGAGAAGCAAAAAGCAAAGGAGAAAAGGAAATATATTCCCATTTGAATGCAGAGTTCCAAAGAATAGTCAGGAGAAATAAGAAAGCCTTCCTCAGCGATCAGTGCAAAGAAATAGAGGAAAACAACAGAATGGGAAAGACTGGAGATCTCATCAAGAAACTTAGAGATACCAAGGGAAGATTTCATGCAAAAATGGGCTCAATAAAGGACAGAAATCGTATGAACCTAACAGAAGCAGAATATATTAAGAAGAGGTGGCAAAAATACACAGAAGAACTATACAAAAAAGATCTTCACGACCCAGATAATCTCAATGGTGTGATCACTCACCTAGAGCCAGACATTCTGGAATGTGAAGTCAAGTGGGCCTTAGAAAGCTTCACTAAGAACAAAGCTAGTGGATGTGATGGAATTCCAGTTGAGCTATTTAAAATCCTGAAAGATGATGCTGTGAAAGTGCTGCACTCAATATGCCAGCAAATTTGGAGAACTCAGCAGTGGCCACAGTACTGGAAAGGGTCAATTTTCATTCCAATCCCTAAGAAAGGCAATCCCAAAGAATGCCCAAACTACCGCACAATTGCACTCATCTCACACGCTAGTAAGGTAATGTTCAAAATTCTCCAAGTCAGGCTTCAGCAATACGTGAGCCGAGAACTTTCAGATGTTCAAGCTGGTTTTAGAAAAGGCAGAGGAACCAGAGATCAAATTTCCAATATCCGCTGGATCATCAAAAAAGCAAGAGAGTTCCAGAAAAACATCTATTTCTGCTTTATTGACTATGCCAAAGCCTACTGTGTGGATCACAATAAACTGTGGAAAATTCTTCAAGAGATGAGAATACCAGAGCACCTGACCTGCCT